TAACAAGGGGAGTACCAGTCTCTGGTACTCAATAACAAGGGGAGTACCAGTCTCTGGTACTCAATAACAAGGGGAGTACCAGTCTCTGGTAGTCAATAACAAGGGGAGCACCAGTCTCTGGTAGTCAATAACAAGGGGAGCACCAGTCTCTGATACTCAATAACAAGGGGAGTACCAGTCTCTGATACTCAATAACAAGGGGAGTACCAGTCTCTGGTACTCAATAACAAGGGGAGTACTGGCACCTGTTTTTACATAGAAAGTGGAGTACTGGCACTTGTTTTTCCATAACAAAGGGAATACTGGAACCTGTTTTTCTATAACTAGAGGATTAATATAAAATAGCAATTATTGGAATTATTGCTGAATGATCATGCTTGGCACAATGGCACTTAAACATTGATGGAATATACAGTATTTAAATATGTGCCCAGGTAAGGATTATCAACACAACAAACACAACACAACAAATAATTATCTCAATGTGAAAAAGTATCATGCTGGATATCTATACAGAAATGGACTGGGTAATGTGTGAGGAATGAAAGGATGCCACATCGTTTGATGGAAATGAAAATTATCAACCTACAGAGGGCTGAATTCAAAACACCCAGAAAATCAAAGTGAAAAAATGATGCGGCAGGCTAGTCCATTCTGCCAAAATTTCATTGCAGAAGCTCAATATCGTACTCAGTAGCTTGTATGGGCCCCACGTGCTTGTCAAACACAAAGGTAACTGGTACTCACTTCCACTGCGCCCTGTAGCAATTATTAATTTCAGTGGAATGTGACTATTCCCCCCTCCCCCCCACCCTAGATAAATGCAAGCTCCTGTCGACCTAAGAATTAAATCATATCAATCAGCCCTTTCAGAATTCCACAGTATTTCCTCACTGTGTCGTTGTTTGGCAAACTGGAGGCTCTATAACCATTGTCTATCAAGTGATACAACCTCAGTTGATTGATGAAGAAATAAAGGAGGCTAATCCCTTCATTACAGGTAATGATGCTACATTGTTATCTTTATATGACAATAAACTTGAACTTGAAACTTGAAAATACGGGACAAATCTCTTACCATATTGCTACAAAACTGAATACAGCCTTTTATTTTTCAATACCGGACAATCACGTAACATATGGACAGGTGCAAACTCTAATCCTCACATTTGTGTACAACAGCACAGATATTTTTGCATTATAAAACTTATGAAAAAATAATTTTCACTATACAGTAGTGATCAAAATTAGAGAACGA